GAGTACACTTACTGTAAATTAATCTTTCCACTTCCTCAGTTCTTAAGATTAATTTCTGTTGCCTGGGTTCTAATGAAGTTCAGTTAAAGTTTAACTCATTAAAAACCAGGTTCTGAACATTTTAATTTAGACACAAACCTATTTTAGTCAACTGATTGAATTACAAATCATTCAGGCAAATTATGATTACTTTCTGTCATGCATATTTCTCAAAAATAGGAACATATACATTTTCCACAATCTTGAATATATTCCTTTGTGTGTATGTGAGACTAGTTCTCTTCAATTAACAATACCACTAAACTGAAATCTTTTAACCTAGTTTCTAACTATAATGGTGTCCATATATCTCCTGTCATTAAATTCATCACAACAAAAACACCTGCTACTCTGGATGTTACCACCATTACCTGTCATGTTCTGTATGTACTATGTCAGTGCATGGACAGGGCAATTGTATGGTGATAAAATAATATATGCTTAAAAAAGCACGGAATAATATATGCTTATAAAAACACTTCTTCAGACTATGTGAGTTCAAGTTTTTCATTTGTATAAACTTCCAACTATGGTGTTCATTTTGATTAGAGACAATACAGAATGACACAGAAATGTTGTTTTCAGTGATATGAAGTACACTGATAGGGCATTTGTAAGAAGTCCTCTCCCTCCACCCGCTGATACCTACTGTACTGTTCCTCCAAGGTGATTCAATAACTAAATTGTCTGCACCAGACTTGCCTCACATCTTGCTAAAAATGCAGACTTCTCGGCCCCACAGCTGCTGATGTGCCCTCTCTGGGGGGTGGGGGGAGCCTGGGATCTCAGCTGACTCTTCTAAAAGCTATGCTCTGAAAACCATTTTTCTGCTGTCCCTATCCTCAAAGTAAAACCGCAAAGCATTAAGTGGATTTAAGGATAATTTTTAATTTTCAAACTGTACAAACTGCGTTTTAGAATATAGGGATAAGGCACTACCATAAATCAAGAAATAAAACTAAATTTTACAGCAATTTCAATCTTGTGTTATTTAGCATTTTAGTATAGCAGAATAACATGGTAAGAGTGTAGAACAGAATGCTGTGTTTAAGAAATTTTAAGCAAAACCAGAGTACATTAATTACTCACAGAGATTTATAGTCTAGGAGCATAAAAGTCAATATAAAGGTGATTTAGTAATACACCTGGAAATTGCATATGTAAAAAGAGTTTAGTACTTTTTAAGCACTTAAAAAGATATCAATCTTCATGTATCAGAAGACAAGCATATTAATCAGGTAAAAAAAAAAAAATCCCAGTGCCTGATTACAAAGACCAACTCTAAAGAACTAGACCAACAGGCCTTCTATTACTAAAATACCTGCATGTTACCCTGTCACCAAAATATTAAAAAAAACAGAAACCCTAACACATCCAAGTTAATATCACCAGTAAATGGAACAAATCAAAAATCCTGCTGGAGAGTGCCTAAATGAAATCTAATCATGAGGAAACATCAAACAATTCTACATTGAGAGACTTTCTACAAAGGAACTCCCCTATACTGTTGGAAATGTCAAAGTCATGAAGCATGAAGGAAAATCAGGGAGCCACTCTAGACTGGAACTGTAACATCTGAACCAGGACAGCGTCTGGTCTGGGAACATGGATGTGGTTTGTTCCCAACACCCCGCTGAGGAGGTTTGTGTGAGGTCCAGAGTCTCGAGAAAGGTACTGTATCAACGTGAGTTTCCTGATTTGGGTCATTGTACTGTGGCTGTGTACGAGGATGTCCTTGTTCTTAGGAAATATATAGTGGAGCCATCACAAGTGAATGGTTTCAACTTACTCTCAAATGGTTCACAAAATACAGAGAGAGAGAGGGAGGGAGAGACAGAGAGGGAGAGACAGAGAAGGAATACTACATCAAATGGGGCAAAATGTTAGGAATGGGGAATTCAAGGGAAGACTAGCATTCTTGCAACTTTCCTATTAAGTTCAAAATTATTTCAAAACAAAAAATGCTAAAAATATTTTTTAAAGCTGTCAATAGGAACACTAAAAAAAATCTAAAAATTTTAGAGTATGTTTTTAAGCTTCATATCTAGAGGAACTACTTAAGTCTACTTAAGTTGTTTTGTAAATCTAGACTAAAAACATGAACAAACTGAATTTTCAATTCCATTCAATGCCTTCATACTAGAAATTACAAAACTGTTATTTTTTTCTTCTATCGGTTACATGCCCATTCCAAATCACTATATAGGTTAATGGAAAATACTTCTACGTTTTACACATTCATTTGAAAAACATTTCAAATGCTGGTTTCTATAGCTATTTTTTCTTACAGTTATTTCCTTCCTTTCCTTGTGCCTTAATGATTTATTTTATCAGTTTCACATCTGTAATTGATTTTGAGTCTATCCGAAAAGTTTTAAACCAGAATGTTATTTAGTGGCACTGATACACTTGTATACACATGAGTAACAAAAAAATCCTGCCACATCAGATTACCAGTCCATGACATTTTATAATTATTTTGCAATGTGGGTTCCTAGCCAATGCAACCTAACAATTGTATCAGTGGTCTTGCTGTATAGGGTGGAGAGAGGTATGATAAGAAAAAGATGCCAATTCCCTTCAACGGTCCTCGGCACACAGTTGGCACAAAATAAATACTTGCGGGGGCAGGTTATTGTAAGATTCCATATCACTTGCCATGTCTCATCAGGAACCACAAGACAGTGGCACACCCAATAGATGCTTACAAATCCAAAGATGAGACAATAATGCTCCTGAGAATCTACACAGGTCAAGCAATAAAAGCTTTTAGTGAAAATGACTTTATTTTGGCATACTTCTAAAAAATTAAGTTATAAACCATTCCTTGCTGCTGTGGACTCTAGGCCACCGGGGTCAGTGAACGATTTCAAGATGGCTGCACAAAAACTTGCTCTAAAAACCATTGACTGGGTAGCTTTTGGGGAGATCATACCCCAAAACCAGAAGGCCACTGCTAACTCCCCAAAATCCTGGAATGAGACACTTACCTCCAGGTTGGCTACTCTCCCTGAGAAACCACCTGCTATCGACTGGGCTTACTACAAGGCCAATGTGGCGAAGGCTGGTTTGGAAGATGACTTTCAGAAGAAGTTTAATGCCCTGCAGGTTCCTGTGCCAGAGGATAAATATACTGTTCAGGTGGATGCTGAAGAAAAAGAAGATGTGAAAAGTTGTGCCGAGTTTTTGTCCCTCTCAAAGGCCAGGATTGAGGAATATGAAAAAGAGCTGGAGAAGATGAGGAACATAATTCCATTTGATCAGATGACCATTGAGGACCTGAATGAAGTCTTCCCAGAAACCAGATTAAACAAGAAGAAGTATCCCTATTGGCCTCACAAGCCAATTGACAATTTATAAACTTGAGTTGGGGAGAAAGCTCTGGCCCTCGTATTGTAAATGCTGGACATTAAAAATAATGATATGGAAAAAAAAATAAGTTATAACAGGGTTGTTGTTGTTGTATTAGTATCAAGTTAAGGCTATGAAAAATAAAGGAAAAAAAAGACTTGCACGCACTGTACTTATTGTATATCAATCTTTTTAAAGCTACAAAAAACAACCAGAATTTTGTGGAATGTCACCAAATATAATTGAAAGTTGCTAGTATCACAATTTCTTGATATATGTTTTTCAAATGCCAAGGTCTACAGGATTGAATGGAAGTTCTCTTTGATTCATGTCCTGGTTTGCCTACTGAAAAAGGAGAGTTAGGGTGACTTCAGGAGAATTCCAAAAGATGCAGGCGCAGAAAACAAGTGCAAAGGAATTTCAAATACTTTCTCTTTCAAATCAAACTCTCATTTAAGCACTTTGTTTTTTACCCAAGGGACAGTTTAGAATTAGTTGAATATCAAAGATAACTGAAGATAAACTAAATCTAAAGTTTAGGGATACTATGCCAACAAAGGTCACTATATAATAGTTTGATGCATTTTCATTTTTATTAAAGTTAATCACAATTCCTACTTCAGGATATTCCACAACTAAAGGAGAAAAAGAGTTATTATAGCTACTTGAAGGGAGTACAGGCTGAATGAACACAAGTTTTAGGAACAGCATTTAAAATATTTTTCATAAGACAGGCATCTGACAGGATCAAGATGTATGTGAACTTCTTATGCTATGGCACCAAAGGGAAAAACTCCCTGGAAATTTCTTCCATATAAAAATTCAAGATAAAAACGGGTCAAGCAGTGTAAAAGCAGAATGAACATTTGCATTTTGAGAATTAGTAACCTCATACATAGAGTACACAGTGCTCGTTAAAACATTCAGCTGCAGAGAAATATTAAAATGTAATAAAGGAAATAGCACCTTTTAAAAATCATGTTATCTAAAATGAAAGTTTGCAAAACTATTCTGAACTGCACATCTCCACATGAAGAAAACTGAGAAGGTGGTACCACAAAACAAAACAGTTTGGAAAAGTGTAATGTTACATGTTGACTGCAAGCCCAAACAGTACAGAACACTGAAAGCCAAAATTCCACCTCCATATCTGTAGTAGGCAAAAAAAAAAAAAAAAAAATCCTTTTCTTTTAAAGTCACACATCTAATATTCTCTCTAAACTGGGTCAGTAGGCAGCATACCTTAATGTAAGGGGAAAAATAATTAAAGGGCCTACTTAAGAATTAAAGCAGTATTGAAGGATCTTCAGTCTATCTACTAAACACATGGACAGGAGGTTTATTATAAGACTTCTTGCTTGAAATTCAATGGAATTCAGAATAAAATGAGTCTGTTAGGTCATACCCCAAAACTTTTCATTACCTAAGTCCCACAAGGGGATTATCAAAACATGATTTTTATTAGATGATTCCAGGTATAGAGGTATAGAGAAGACTTTCTCAGCCAGAGTTCTGACTATAACGTTATGATCAGACCCAAAGTCATTCTTTTTTCACAAGGGAGGCAAAGTATACACTTACATTCTTTCTAATCCCTTAAAATCCTTACAGTTGAAAAGGTTGTCCTTGAAGGTTAATTCAAATAAAAACAAATTTGCTTAGCGGTACATGTAATTTTAACAGCCTAATCATATATGCAAAGAATATCTTCCAATTGTGATATCTACTTGAATATTTTTGTTACATAGCTACTTTATCAAAAGTCCTATCAAAGCAAATTATGTCTATGCTTTCCAAAATGATTATTAATCAAAAACGCTGCCTTATAACTTTTAAGAAATAGATCTTGGGTTCAGGAAATACCAATATGTTATTAACATGTTATTATAATTCTGCATTTACTTTCATTTATAAATATCACATAAATACCACTGGCAAGTATCATAATGTTAAATCATTAAACTAATTTGTAAATATTGATTTAAAAACCTTGGAGCATACACTGCAAAAAAAAATTAATAAAATTTTTTTAAAAAAAGGTTCTCCCCCCCATTATTTTCTTAATGATCATCACCCACCCAGGAGTTGGTAATAAATACGTGCATAGTTCTTATAGAAAATGTGAAGACAAATATTGGCAAATACCGCATGTCACTTTATATTCTAAGAAATCATACAATCTGTAGTATTTCATAAAGTTGTTTATTCTTGTTATTAAAACTTGGACTCAAGTAATCCTGGTTATTCTGGAAAAAGCACCTTGTTAGCGGGCATCATTTAATCATCCTTTTCTACAATCACCTCTCCGTGAAGCACCTTTCTTCTTTGGCGTAACATATGAAAATAGAGTTGTGGGAACACTAAAGGAAAAAAGAAAACAAAGGAGGATGCTGTTGACATTATTTATACTTGAAACCTCTCACATGTAGAAACTCTGAGGGCAAGCACAGCATCCCCTGCCGCTGCCCACCGCCCCACCACCCCTACTTCCCCCCTCCTCCTCCAACAGAGCTCAGGCCGAGGCCCACACACCATAGGCCTCCGCAGTTTCCAGGCTCGCCTCCTTTTATGGCGGTTTTCACAAATTGAAGGTTTGTGGTAACTCTGCCTCGAGCAAGTCTCCTGGCACTGTTTTTCCAACAGCAGGTGCTCACTTAGTGTCTCTGTGTCACATTTTGGGAATTCTCACAATATTGCAACCTTTTTCATTATTATTATCATACTTGTCATGGTGATCTGTGATCAGTGGTAATGACTTGCTGAAAACTCTGATGATGGTGAGCATTTATTAGCAATGAAGTATTTTTTAATTAAGGTGTGCATACACTGATGCTATTGCACACTTAACAGACTACAGTATAATGTAAACATAGCTTTTATATACACTGGGAGACCAAAAAAATTCGTTGGACTCACTTTATTGCAATTTTAGCTTTAGTGGTCCGAATTGAACCTGCAATATCTCTGAGGTATGCCTGTAATGTTGGGGATTCTTTAGCAAAGTTAAGTATCTTGATAAATATACCTTCATAATGACCTGGGATGCTGTGCCAGAATGTTCCAGCACAAGGAAGACTGCCCCGCCTGGCCCCCTTTTCTTGGGTCCATCAGCTGTCCTGTACCATGAGGGGTCTCATAAACATATGTGGGTATCTAAGCCCACACAACCGAGCTTCATCCATATCCTTCACAAAGAGCTGCCCCTTGGCTACCCCTTGATCTCAGGGATGTGTATACTGGTGACACGGTTTACCCCTCAGGAGAACAGAACGGGAAAGACGTCTATCTGTGCAGTCCCTAGATGCACACTCCCTGCCTTGTGGGCAGCAAATTCCAGGGTTTCAGGTTTCTAGAATGTGGTCTAGAAGGGAGGGGAGGGCCTGTATGGAGAAGTGATCAGGATCAGTGGAGGGCCAGAATAGGGCCCTCTAAAACAGAGCCCAGAGCAGGAGCCCCTCTCAAATTTGCTCAAATTATAGTGCTTTATAATGCCAGTGCTAGAGGATGAACAAATTAACATCAGCTATAAACAACACAAATGTCAAAATATTTCTGAGACTGATGGACAGAACGATTAAAACCAAGTAACCTAATGACAAACAAACAAACAAAAATAACCCAAATGGAGCAAAAATACACAACAGAGTTTATTTTTTTTAATTTAGGTACTGCCCATCCTGATAAATGTAATTATCATACCATACCCAGGGGTCTAAATATACTCAGGTAAAATACACTTAACGCTAACTGACTGATTATTGAAAATACGTCTAGAACATTCTGAGTAGTGTAGCAGAAGTATGGGCTTGAGTTCAAATACTAGCCTTATTTACTAGCTGGGTGATTTTCAAGAGATGCCTATAACGTCCTCCTTGAAATGCCCTCCAATCTGTGATGTCATTATTGAAAACTACCAGCACTTCTTTTGAGTGCTAAAGTACTCAGAGTACTGTTAATACCTTTAATTAACACAAAATTTAATAAAAAAATACAATTAGTTGTCTGACTGCTAATATTAATAATCAAGTGGAAAACATCCCCCTGGTGGACTGCTCCAGCAAGTGGGACCCTCACGAAACGGTCAGCAGGGTGAACTGAGAAGCTGCCGCTGACACAGGCCAGAGTCTGCGTCTCCCAGGTCACCTGAAAACACCCAACCAAGTTACTGGTTTGATGCTTTCAAGCCATGACATGCTGGGCCCTGGGTTTCCATGGAGATGCTGCACTAGTCGTAAGGAAGAGGGGAAGCCGATCCCCAAACCTCTGTGATATGAACAGAAGCGGGATCTAGCTCTGCTCCAGACATGGCTGGGGAGGTGGACGGGGCTGCAGGTGACCAACCCCGGGCCCTCCTGACCGTGCCCCCTCCCGGGGACAATCTGATGAGAGTCAGGCTGAAATGGCAGCAGATGAGGGAAAGGGCAACAGGCTGACTCTCAGGTCAGTTTTGATTTTGAAAAAGTTTAAAAGTTGGAGGCCTCAAGGGACTAGCCAGGTTTTATGCTCATCCGCCTTACATAAAATATTTTTTTACGTTTTATTTAAATATCGCGTCAATGTAGATTTTAGATGCTATAAACTTTTCTTATTTCCTTTGTTCCCTCACGGACACCAGAGCCTCTAATTTTATCGAGAAGGGTAAAGAACAGCCTTGCTTTACTTTCACATTCCCTGCTAGTGACTATCAAAATTTGACCTAAAAACCTACCACTATTGCTATTTAAGTGAAATGAGTAAAGCTTCACCAATTCACGGCAACTATTGAAAGGTGATGAGAAATTAGTGAAGAGGCTGAGTTTTTGAAAATATTTTAAGAAAAGCAGCCTCATTATTTTCTAGTATATCGAGCAATACACACAAGACTAAAAAGTACTCCTAAATAACTTTTCCAAGTGTATGCTCAAGGATTAGACAGAACTGACCTGACATTTTCTAGGGACAAAATGTTTATCTTCAGATAAATAACTCTAAATGCTGGCAAACAGTTCCCTGATGTGTGTTCTATCTTTTCTTTAAAAAAAAAAAAAAAAGTCAGATTCAGCTACTCTTTAAATGATTCTGAGAAAGCAATCATTTGTGTATTGATTTACTTACCTTTTTCCTTATAACCAGGAAAGAGTCCTTTTTGACTCACTCAACTCTTCCATTATTTAAAATTATGAATACACATGGGGTTGAACAGAGGTTTTGATGTATTTGTAAGCCATCACGTCTCATTGCTTATTACACTAGCGTATCATGATACTTTACAAAACGTTCGCAGCATATGCTTAATCAAAGTACCAATGACCGTATACTTACATGGTATATATGAGGCCATGGTTATAAGAAGAAAATAGTAGTAGTCAAAAGAGACATTGTATTTATTAGGAAGTCTTATCGAAAACATTCCCGTCTTCTTCACATATGGTAAGGCAGCATATATTGTAAGAAGTTCACCAACAACTCCAACGGGATATAAGATGATAAAAAAATTATATCTGGAGAAAGAAAGACGCCAGAGAACTATTTTTCTAGAATAATGACTGGATTTGACATCATCGTTCTTTTGCTACTACTGCCTTTAAACTTAAAAATATACATATTTACAGTGCCCCTCACAGGAGAAGGTTAATTTTTTTCTACTTTAATCATTTGCTTATAAAGTTAATTATCCTCCTTTTTTCTCGTAGCAGTTTCCATTTTAGATGGCAAGATCTTAATAAAACAAGAAGTCAACTGACTTTACAGTACTGAAATAGTGGTATATGCGTTAACAATGTATATGTATGTAGTTTTGTATTGTAAAGGACATAAGTGTTGTAAATAGTATATTGTAAAGTACCTGTAGTATTATAAGGTATCGTAAAGGTAACTTCTTTGACACTTGGAACCAAAACTGAGTGGGTTTTTTTTTTCCCTTCAGCTAGTCATTTATTGATCAAGTGCTGTGCTTTAAAAGACTACTTATGATCTTAATTTTATACCTATATCTTGACATTACCAAAGTGGTTCTTGGAGGCATTTGGAAACCCCTTTGTGGCTACTAATTAAAAGAGAATTAATTACTACCTCAGAGAACTGAAATAATACTACTAAACACATATTTATATATTTAGTGTATTTAATATATAAATAATACTAAAGCTTCAGTAACTACTAATGAATATACTATCTAAAACTAAAGCTCTCATAATGAAACAGGTAAGACAAGTTGTTTCCAAAATTCCCACATTAAAGGAACAGTCAGTGTGCTTACAACAGCTGAGAAAGTTCTATTCAAAATCCCAAATCACAGTTTGTTCATTTGGGCTGTGGCAAGGTCTTCAATGCCTGGTAGGCCAGCCATTACTCATGCCTATGGTGAGGGGAAGGTTCTACAGGTCTCCATGGGCCTCCAGCAGGAAGAGCTTCAAGGACCCAGGGCAACCACCTTTCTCCAGTAAAGAAAATCACTTTTCTCCAACGCAGTTACCACAGAAAATAAAGGTTAAAATGTTGGTGGAAAAGGACAGAAATCAAATTAATCTGTATTTTAGTTCATTTAGTTGGCATTAAGATATCTGTAAAGAAATGTTAAATTTATCCGTATGGCAGAAACTTGGAGACAACTTAAAAATCACCTTATTATTGTATGCCAAGGATATACACAGGTGAGAGACGGTGCGGGGACAGAATTATTTGCCAAAATAGATTCAGTGGCAAAAAAAGACCAATGATCCTTTTACTGTCCCTGTTTATCCCCTCCTTGCTGTGGGTATATCACCTGCTTTCTTCCTAGTTTTGTGTAGTTATTCATATATTATTTATTTTATTTTTATTTTTTTTAAGTTTTTTTTTTTAAAGATTTTATTTATTTATTTGACAGAGAGAGACACAGCGAGAGAGGGAACACAAGCAGGGGGAGTGGGAGAGGGAGAAGCAGGCCTCCCACGCAGCAGGGAGCCCGATGCGGGGCTCGATCCCAGGACCCCGGGATCATGACCTGAGCCGAAGGCAGACGCTTAACGACTGAGCCATCCAGGCGCCCCTTCATATATTATTTAAATTACTCTCTTCCAATCTTAATTTCCTAGCTCAATTTAAAAATCATATAACTGAATATTTTATAATCCCTTCTCAAGTAAAACATTCAAACTTATTTACATAGTTTTTAAACTTTATGTGACTCTCCAATGATTTTTCTGGAAGCACTGTTCTTCAACAGAAAAAAGCATTATCATTCTTTGAGTAAACTAGTTTTTAAAGCCTTCAGCCACTGATTATTTTTAATGCAATGAGAACAAATTATATAATTTACTTTCTTTGCATTTGAAAAAGATTGCATGTCACCAGCTCTGTAAGTTTTGATGGCAGCATGAGAAATTTACCTATTCAGAAAAAGAATTCCTCGTTAAAGATTCCTAATTGATACCTAAAATTTTTTTGAAGGGAATGCATTTTTGAAATTAAAATGGAAATTAACATGGAACATAATAACATACAAGTGCCTATTCAGTGGACTTTTCTAGGAACACTTCTAACACGTAAGTAGAATTGAAGTATATTCAAACCATCACAGTAGGCCAGCTATTTACAAATAAGAAGCCATTCTTACTGTGAAGTTTTATTTGAGAATGACAGCTTCAACATTTGACTATAAATACAAATATTATTTCAGGTTTTTTAATGAGGTTGGCAAATATATATAGATGGTTGGAATCTTTTAGGATTTTTAACATGCAATATAATTACTCATGATTATGATTAACTGACATGTATTATGCTAACATGTACATTTCAAAATTGAAAGATCTTGTAGTACTTGGTTTAACATTAATGCAATTGACAAAGGATTTCTAAACAGCAAATTTAAACATGTTTTGAACTTTTCCAGAAATTCAAGACATGCAAAATGCATTCCAAAAGGCAGACAGACAAAACATTAAAGACCATTATTTTTCACAAATAAATTTTACAAATACAGTAAATGAAGAGACTATATCATGAATTAGTATTTTCAAAGGTGCTGGAGGTCCAGAAGACTGAGGTCATGCAAGACGCAAGATGCACTGAGATGGATTCTAGGATTAGTCCGGCAACACTCCAAACTGCCAACCGTGTGAAAGGCCCAATCGCTCAAAGTGAAAAAGTGCTCGGTTACAATAAGAATAAAACCAACCTAACATATAGAAATGGGAGCGCAGCCTTCTTATGAGAAACAATAGGTTTCAGCTCAAATTATAATTTTACAGCATTTCAATAAACAAAGTGGTAAGCCACAAAAAATGTCTACAAAGGAGCGAGAGCATATAAAAAAGTCTTAGAGTATAAATATAATTAACAGTGATTATCCTTACGGAGGAGGATTATGAGCAATTCAAAAGATCTTTTTTCCCTTCATTTTGGACTTTTTATATATTATATAGTTCATTATATTTGAACATGTATAATATATGAGTTATGAAAAAGGAGTAATAACTTAAGAAAAAGTGTTAGGCTTTTATTATACAGGGATCAAAAACAAATCTGACACTGGTTGTATGTTACCTTCAAATTGGGAATGTGTTAATATAAATATCAGAGTTTTATTTTTTTTTAAAGGTTTTATTTATTTATTTTGACAGAGAGAGACACAGCGAGAGAGGGAACACAAGCAGGGGGAGTGGGAGAGGGAGAAGCAGGCTTCCCGCTGAGCAGGGAGCCTGATGTGGGACTCGATCCCAGGACCCTGGGATCATGACCCGAGCCGAAGGCAGAGACCTAACGACTGAGCCACCCAGGCGCCCTATCAGAGTTTTAAAAAATAGAAATATGGACATAGCATTGTTTATAATATCTCAAAGTAGGATTTATAATATTGGCAAACTGGAAATGATCTAAATTCAGGTAACAGAGAACTGGTCAGTCATACTATGGAATATTGGGCAGCATTAAGAGTTACAACTAGATCTATCAGTCATACTATGGAATATTGGGCAGCATTAAGAGTTACAACTAGATCTAAACGTTCCTGTTTTGATTTAAAAAAAAAAAGAGCTCCAAGATATAAACAAAAAGCAAACATAATGTCATTCTATTTATGTTTTTAGAAACTCATGTCTGTGTGTTCACATTTTCGTTAATATGAAAAAGTGTGGATAGGTAAACTCCAAGCTTTTTCCCTCCAGGGGAAGGTAGTGGTCAGGGAGGAGTATAAATAGGAACTTGCCATGTTGAGTCTATATACTTCTGTGCTTTTTTGAATTTCTTACAATGAAAACGTATTACTTCTGTGGTTGAACAAAAACTTTAAAGAATGAAAATACCGTCGAACGCTTTTACTTTACCTATGTGGAAGAGACATATAGGGGCCAGACATATAGGGGATAGAGCTATCCTTCCCCAGCTGCCTCCTTGCACTTCCCACTACCTGGCATTTCACATATCTGTTAGTTGTTTTATTTTTTTGGTCTCCTATGTCTCGAGAGGACAGAGTTTTTCTTGTTTTCAACCCTGCATCTCAGGCATGCATTCAGTATACAACACGTGTTGTTGTTGTGACTTTAAGTACAACCCAGGAAACAAAAGGAACAAATCTACACTGGTTTGTGATCTGTTCTTCAAATTGCAGTCTTGTTTTTATAATAACTTTGTAAAATATTGGTTGCTCAAAGAATTCAAACTTAAAAAAAAAAAACAGAACACCTTTCACTTTAAAAATATTATTTAGGGGCACCTGGGTGGTCGGTTAAGTGGCTGCCTTTGGCTCAGGTCATGATCCCAGCGTCATGGGATCAAGTCCCACATTGGGCTCCCTGCTTCGCAGGAAGCCTGCTTCTCCCCTTCCCTCTGCCTGCTCCCCCTACTTGTGCTCTCTCTCTCTCTGTGTTAAATAAATAAAATCATTTTTAAAAAAGGATGGATATATTTAGAACCATTGAAATATAAATTTTGTCCACATTCCAAAATGCAGCTTAAGTGTGACTTTTAAAAATGACTGTCTCTGCTACTTAAAACACCAAAGAAACTGACATTGTATATGTAAGATACTAAAAATTGTGGACACTAGATTATTAATTTAAATCATTCAGAAAAAAATGTCATATTTTTGGCACAGAATTTAATTAATATAATTTAAAAAATTATATGTTTTGCTTCCAAAGGAAAATGAATGACCAATTCAGGTTAGGTAAGGATACTGATGTAACTTGTCTGGCATTGATTTTACTCAAAATATGTATTAATGTGATTTTTCCCTGATCATTAAATTAAGCCTTCAGAATTCAAGTTATAGCACTGCTAATAGCCAAAAACACAGCATCCTGGCATCATGGGCTAAGACACAAATTTTCCTTCTCTGGTGTTAGCTCAGCACACACAACACACATGCACTAGTGAGAAACTAAACAGCAAGGCATCGCCACCTGGCCCATTTAATGAAGTATGGCAAGTGGTCGAGAAGACTGAATGTGTAGAAGGAATAGCGAGTGATCTCTGTCACAGTCCACGCGACCAGAAAAAGCACCACGCTCTCCTCATTCTGGATCTGCAGAACCACAGAGAAACCCACAGTGTGGTTTAACCTTCAACATTTTTTTCCATGAAGAATCTTAGTTACTTACTCTGTGTCTTTGACTACCTTGGAACGTCAGGGGCAGACAGAGGCAAGACAGAAAACTTAACGCTGCCACTATTACATGATTCATGACAACACACAAATATGTCCTAGGCACAGGAATGGTCACATTTCTACTGGTTTCTCTTTCTCAGCCTTTGCTCTGGCCGCTAACTCAACCATCCCGGGACAACATCACCCCCTCAAAACCAGCGTGGGAACAATCTGATGCTCCAACTTTCTACGGGTCGTCTGAGGGTACCCATCCTACTAGAGCACTAGCTACTGCATATGCGTATGTCCACTCGTCTTTTGTCCTGCGACTGCCACTGAATTCAGAGCCTCACCGTCTCCATCCACACTACTGTAACAGCCTGCTAAACAGCCTCTCCACTCTTTATTCTCTCCATGAATGGATGTCTTCTCTTAAGCGCAAAACAAACAAAAACACATTTGGAAGCAGTGATTCTGTGATTTAAAAGCTTCTTTGGCTCCCTATTGCTTAACAGGAGAAAAGGATTGTATTCAAGGTTCTCTGCGATCTGGAGCTCAGGAATCTCCCCAACTTCATCTGCAATCTCTCAACCTCCCACTACCAGCTCTTCTCTCTGGTGACACCACCAACTTAGTATTATTTCCAGAACATGCTCTGAACGTTTGCATCTTATTAACACATGCTATTCCCTCCAATTAGAATGCTACTTACTCCCTTGTTAGTTCCCACGGGAAACCCTTTCTCACCCTTTATGATCCAGCTAAAGCATCACGCCCTCTGGAAAACTTTTCCCAAACCCCTCCTTTCACCCTGAGCAGTTACTTGCTCACTTTCCTTGTTCATATCTGTATTGTAACACTTGCCGATTTGTATGAAAGTCTGTCTGCCTGACTCTTGCGTATGCATCAGTGCTTTCCTTATACACTCCTTCCTCAAGTAAGCCTGCCCTCCCTCCCTAGGTCAGGCTAAGTCCCCAGGTACATGGTAATACATACTATCTCTTATTTCAAAGCACTAACACTAACATAATGAAACAATTACAGTTGACCCCTGAAGAAAGTGGGGGTTAGGGGCAACAACCCATGCTGCGTAGTCAAAAAACCTGCATGTAAGTTTTGACTCCCCCAAAACCTAACAACTAATAGCCTACTGTTGACCAGAAGCCTTATCGATAACCTGTAAACAGTTGATTAACACGTTTTGCATGTCGTATGTGTTATACAATAAAGCAAGCTACAGAAAAGAACATGTCATTAACAAAATCATAAAAGAAAATACACATAGTACTGTATTTATCAGAAAAAAATTGATTAAAAGAAAAAATTCTATGTATGAGTGAACATGCGCAGTTCAAACGCGTGTTGTTCAAGGTCAGCTGTATTTGTGCACCTACTTGTTTACCGCCTCTGTTACAGGATCCACGAGGCAGGGACTGTATTTGTATTAACTGCCAGATCCCCAGCAAAGTCTCAGGTGTAGAACAGCTGTGCGATTAGTATTTGTTGAATGATTTGACATCTGTAAGACCGCCCCCCACTTCCCAACAACCAGTACGCATACAGCTGGAATGGCCCTATCCATTTTTGTAAATCCAGACATGAGCACAATGTCAAATGTACAGAAATAAATGTTGGCTGAGTTAATTAAAGAGGGGTGGAAAGGTACCAGTAGGAGACTCTCGTTGGAGAAAATTAAATAGTAAGACTAAGACAGAGATCCTTTGGAGGATAAAAAGGAGCGGATGGGTCTTTTTTCTCCTGGGGCCTAGCAACCCGATAGATTCTCTCTCACTTCTTTTCCACAGCTGATGCTGCCTACCCGGTCTGGTCTCTCTTCTTCCTTAGTCTTCAGACTCTCTGTAGTCCTGGCCCAGCTCTTATATTCGCTCACTGTCTGTTCTGCTTATGGTGGACTCCTGCTTTTAAACTACACGGCAATCTGAGTGCAAAGTCTGGCTCTCTGCGTGGCCTGCACTCACTGCTAAGTGCACAGCAGTCCCTGGTGAAGGGCCAGGCGGACCGAGGGAGTTGAGTGAAAGACAGTGGTCTGGAGAGGCTAATGTGCAGAGTGGTGAGAGAGCAGAAGGGCAGTGATCTGTCCCTGCGCGGACGGGGGCCAGGGAGTCTCACAGGCAAGGGAAGGGAGTGAAGGTATCATTTCAAGCAGATGAGGGACAAGAAAGGCATCTCAGGAATGGAAAGAAGGCCAGAGATCTGTCCTCAAGTAGCCAGGAGACGCTGGAGGCTGTCAGAAGGTCAGAAGGGCCCATCTGGGAAATGTTTCTGTCATGGGTTTAAAAGGCCCAGTGCCTTGACATAGTGAGTGTGGTGTGTGTTTGTCTAGAAGGGTTTAAGCCATTAATTAGATTCAGATCTGTCTCCTGTCATGCCTCAATAAATAATATGCTAATTTCCCCTAAGCTCCCCAGCCCTTCCAACTTCTCATTTAGTCTTTCGCATTTGCTCAGATCTACAGAACTATATTTGCTTTTTACGCCAGTGCTACAACACTCCATGGTGAATGAGGAAAAACACACTGTTTATAGTGGTGACTTCAATACATAATCAAAGAGAATACACATCAATAGAAAATTTTCAGTTAACTATTTGACAGAATATGAATATTAATTTTAAAAACTGGGAAACATCAGAGGAGAATAGATTATGGATATAAATATTTAGTTTTGCTTGTGTTTCAAGGTCATTCTACTAATGCACCAAGTCAACGTACAATCACACTTAAATCCAAACCCAGCCCCTTTTTTGTCTAGTGGTTCTGCTTCCTGAAATATAGCAATGTTAGTATTTTAGATTCCTTTTAATAAAAAAGCTTTCCTGCACGCTCATGAAGAGAACCTGTTAGTGTCACTTACTGGTTTTATACTGTGAGTAATGAGCCACACCATAAAGATTCTTGAACTCACTTGGACCCCAGCCACAATCACAGAAGTAGGTACAATTCCTTAAAGAGAAAAACAAGTCAACCATTGCCCTAAAGGCAATTTATACTGACAATAAAAATTAAATCAGAAACTCACCAATTAAACAGTGGACTATCTGTAAGCAAATAAAAAAAAATCACAAGTCAATAGCATGCAACATAATATAAATCCCTGCGAACACTGGTTTTCTACAAATCCATAGGTGGTATGTCATCAGCAAAATGAGGCTGATTTTGCTCAACAAATAATTTTCAAATAAATATTACAACAATAGGAAAACAGCATCATTAAAAACTTACCTCAAGCAAGGCAAATGTCTGGAAAAATTTAAGTGTCTTCTGAATACTTCTATATAAGCCTTTGTGTGTTCCTTTTTCCATATAAAAACGTACCATGGCAATAGCTAAAACCAACCACCTAGAAAAAATACAAGTATTTTATAAAGTTCTATCAAAATGAATACCAAGGATCTTCCTGAAAATAAATGGCATAATTTATATAGTAACATGTTGTTTTATTATGTTCTTAGTTCATTATTCTATTTAACAAAACCCACAGGAAGAAATGGCATTGTTTTTACATTGACTCTTTAAGGGGATGAATAGAACATATTGGAGATCAACTAGATTCAAATGTCAAACAATGTCCCTTTCATGTTTGGTTTCAGCAGACAGACTGAAGAAGTGATGTACCCAAAATGAGGTTATTATAAAGCATTTCATAATTATATATTTCTTAAGGAAAAAACCTGTGAGTGTGTATGTACTTATACAAATATATGGTATATATTTATATGTAAGTATAAGTAAAAATCTTTCATAATAATTTTTTTAGAATTTGCACTAAATAATAATTGTTGTGCCACAGAAGGCATACAGAAGGTCAGATATGGGCCTGCTTTCAAAGAGTTTGCTTTACAAAAAGGACAAAATACATATGCCTTGCCTTTTCAAGTTCTACTTCTATGCGACAGGTTGTGTGCTGTGAATGACCGGCACTTCACACACAACAGCTGCACCTGCAAAGACCAGCTTTCTCACCATACACTCAATCTGCTAGAGACACTAATGAGAGTTCATTTTTTTCCAGTTTCCTTCACAATTACAAGAGCACTTTTAAGTTTTAAAAAGTTAAACCATCTGTAACTTTTTAAAATCTTTAGTAACCCACCCACGGAAAGGAGTAGCTACTCCAGGCTTTTTTAATTCGATGGTCTCCAAAGTGTCTAGTTACATGGGTTTATGAATGATAACATTATTATACAGTTTTAACTTTTTAATTAAAGAACACTCATAAAAAGGACAAATGGCTTTAAAGATTCCCCACAAAGGAACTACTGATTAAATACGATGAACATGGTCAACAAGGTCAACAGAAGAAGATGGCGGCTGGCGTTTCTCCTCTGGGCACTTCCACTCCTCCTCAGCACACACTGAGGGGAAAGCAGGGATGTACGTTCCTATGAGGTATGACAAGAAGTCGGGTAAAATCTGAAATTATCAGCAAGATCTTCCAAAAAGGGAAATGTTAATGATACCAACAACGCTGATAATAACACATGTACTTTCAGAACACTTTCAATGTTCTAAATGCACATTCAACATATTAGTATTTCATGCTCACAAATTCCCTGTGAGGTAGGGACTGCTATTATCCTATTTTACTGCTGAGGAAACAGGCAGAAATGGTCACAGAGCCAGGCAGCGGGGGATGTAAACCCACCGCTGAGCTCAGAGTCTATGCTTCTGAACCATGATGCTGTACTGGTCTGGCTCTAGGTATATATTGTGCCTTGGGATGTTAGTTAATCATGGTATTTGGTATATTTGAATTACAAGTAAAATTTAAAAGTTATAGAGAGAATTATGCTCTAATATTTTAACTGATAATAGTGTGCTATCAAAAAGGTTTGAGGGCCACTGTTATAGATGAGACAGTCACCATGCAGAGGTGTCAAGTGACTTACCCTAAGTCTTAAAGTCAACAGTCCAGGTAGAATTAGACCCCTTGAGGTCTCCCAATGCCCCATGCTATTCTCTCTCCATGATACCCTGCCTTTACTGGATTCAACTGATGGTTTCACCCCATATGTGGACCCACTGATGGCTTCATCCCATATGAGGGTCAGTGCTGAATTCTGCGCTGGGCTAATCTGGGTGATGTTTTATATGCCTTCTAGGTTTAAAATATTATGATTTTACCATCTTCAATTCTAAGTCCCTACACTAACAATAAGAAAACAAAAAGCGTATTAAGATGTTTGTATTCACATTTTTCATACACTTGTCTCTTTTTTTTTAAGGAAAATCCAAATCAGGTTTTTACAAAAGATCATTTTTAAGAGGTAATTATTAACCTAACAACGAATTCATCAAAGGATTCATCAGATGGCAACTTTTCTACATTTTTAAATAGCAAAATATAAAAATCCACGTATTATAACATGGTAACAAATTTTACTGTTGCTCCATAGGTGGCAGTATTGTACCACCTAATATAGTATTAGGATCTTAACCAATTACTAACTTGTTCGGAAATAAAAGAAATTAACACCCTGGGTGGGGTTAGAAAAGACCATAGGGCCATCTATCCTAACTTCTCCACTGTTTTTCAGTCACTGTGGCCAGGAACTTATCTGAACTAATGAGTGCTCACTTTCTAAACCCACCATCACAATGGGGTGACAAAGTCTCCCATAGGGGCCCTACATTTAACTTTGCACTTCCTACGTTCATCGGTTTAGTAATTGTAATTTAAAAAAAAAAAATGCAAAAGCAAGTAGAGCTTCTGCAACCGTGAATTATTTATTTATTTTTTTAAGATTTTATTTATTTATTTGACAAAGAGAGAGACAGCGAGAGAGGGAACACAAGCAGGGGGAGTGGGAGAGGGAGAAGCAGGCTTCCCGCTGAGCAGGGAGCCCGATGCGGGGCTCGATCCCAGGACCCTGGGATCACGACCTGAACTGAAGGCAGACGCTTAACGACTCAGCCACCCAGGCGCCCCTGGAATTATTTTCTAGAAGGTTCTGTTTTTTAAAAAATAGGCCAGAGTGCCTGATTACCTAAATTTGAACCCAGATGGATATGCTCAGTCCTTGAGAAAGTACTCTCTTTGGAAAATATATAAACATGTGCTTCCTATGTAAAAGATTGCTTGCTTTTTAGCTTAATTCATTTCTTTATTCATTCATCTTCACGTTCAACATTTATTGCTAAGCCGCTAAGCCAGGGAGTGTACTATATGTTGGGAAATTAGAAATAAATAAGACCTAGTCCTTGCCTCAAGGAACTATTAAATTAGTTAAGCGGAGAAAACAAAACAGTGCTGTAACAGGAGGTATGAATCATAACTCACTAAACACAGAGCCTTCTTGCCATGTCACTACGCTATGATGACCCTGAAAAATCTTATTGAAGGAGGAGTTCTTTCTTTGGTTGTCTCTGGTGCTTCTTTCTTTTCCTCCTGAGGTTTCTTGGGACAACCTGCTCCACAGGAAACTTAGCTTATCTACACCTGTATCTTCTTTTTTTATTTCAACACTTCTTTTTAGATTTTCATTATGAACAACTTCGCACATACCCAATGATACAGAGAAGGAAGGGTATAAGGAACCCCCGTGAGCCCACTGCCCAGCTTCAAAGCATTATCATCTTATGGACAATCCTGTATATCACCCAAACCTCTATTCGCTTCTCTCCTCACCATCGTCTCCCCTCATTACTTTGAAGGAAATCTCATACCTTCTATAGTTTGATTCATAATAAGAGGACTGCTTTTAATAAACATTACCATAAAACCACCCTCCCATGTAAAAAAACTCTTCAGTCACAAAACATAGAGGCAGGATATAAATTTTCTCAATTGCCTCATAATTTTTAAAATTCATGATTGAAGTAAAGTTCATATGTTGTAATTAGTTGCTATGCCCTTCATGACTCTTAATTTATAGGTTTCCCCTCCCTCCCTCTAGCCGTTCATCTCTCCTTCCCTCTCTTTCTCGTGAAATTTGTCTGTCGAGAACACTGAGTGGTTTGTCTTGCAAAACTACCCACATGTCATTTATTATGTTCTTCTGTCCCCTGTATTTCCTGTGAAGTTGACAGTTCCATGTGTTTGATCAGACATTCACATTTGAGGCTAACTCCTAAGTTATGTTGTGTACTTCCCTACAGAGCACATCATTTCTGGTCGTCCCTTTGGTTTGTGATGTTAGCACTCACTGTTGATCATTGCCCAGAGCCATTATTTCAGCATTACTGAAAAATGGTGATATTCTAATGTTATCATTTCTTCTTGACACCTCCGATAAAGTAACCCTGCGGAGGCTCGTCCCAGAGATGGTCTTTGACATTCATACCATCCATACTTTCATATATTGTTCATTGACACCTCTAAACTTCCTTTCCTAGACTAAATTGAAACTTTTATTTAGCAGCCAATATGTGTTTCAAGGTACTGCACATAGACACTCATGCCAATGGAGTTAAGCTCAAAGGTTCATGAAAGAAAAAAAACAGATAAACTGGATTTCATTAAGAGTAAGACCTTCTGCTCTTTGAGAGACACTGTGAAGAAAATAAAAAAACCAAGCCACAACTAGGAGAAAATATTCACAAATCACATATCTGATAAAGACCTATATCCATACTATATAAAAAACTCTCAGAACTCAGTAACAGAAAAATCAAACAACCTCATTTAAAAAAGGGGGGGGCGCAAAATGGGGCACCTGGGTGGCTCAGTCGTTAAGCGTCTGCCTTCGGCTCAGGTCATGATCCCAGGGTCCTGGGATCGAGCCCCCCATCGGGCTCCCTGCTCCGCGGGAAGCCTGCTTCTCCCTCTCCCACTCCCCCTGCTTGTGTTCCCTCTCTCGCTGTGTCTCTCTCTGTCAAATAATAAAATCTTTAAAAAGTTATAAAAAATAAAAATTAAAAAATTAAAAAGGGCAAAAGATTTGAACAGACACTATACCAAAAAAGATACACAAATGGTAAGTAAATGCATGGAAAGATGTTCAGTGTCATTAGTCACTAGGGAAATGCAAAATAAAATCACAATGAGATAACACAACACACCTATTAGAATGTCTAAAATTACAATGACTGACCATACCAAGTGTTGGTGAGGATATACAGCAGCTCTCATTCATTGCCCATGGGGATGTAAAATGGTACAATCACTCTGGAAAAGTTTGGGCAGTTTCTTAAGAAATCAAGAATGCGACTACCATATGACCCAGCCATTCCACTCAAAGATATTCATCCAAGAAAAATGAAAGCATATGTCCAAAGACTTGTACCTGAATATTCATAGCTTTGTCATGCCAAAACCTGGGAAGAACCAAAATGTCCATCAACAGATAAATGGATAAAAAAGTTGGATAAACAAGATCCATACAATGGATCTACCCTCCTTGGGGATAAAGTATATGTCTGTTACTTAACATTTTGGGAAATGTATATGCCTGAACCTTGGGTTTGGTGCTCTAATAACTCACACTATGTATACTCTTGAAATATCTTGAGTAGTTTCTCTCTCGGTATCATTCACCTTGCTGATCACTTCATATCCATGATCTTTTTATTCTTTGTAATAATCTAGTAAAGGAGCTGTATTGTTTCAATTCACGGGTAAGAAAACTCAGGGTCAGAGAGTTTAAGTAACTTATCTGAGGCTACCCAGCAAAACAGGAGTGAAGCATAGCCTCTAAACGACACCTTATTGTACTATTTACAGATTAAAATCCAAACATGTTAGCAAGGCATTTAAGGCCCTGTACGGTGGTCCATGCTCCCCATCGAGCTTCATCTCCCCCCTACACTTCAGGCCCACTTGCTATTGCCTGAACAACATGTCTAGGAATGTCACATCTCTGTACCCTAACTCACGCTGTTTCCTCATCCATGCCTATCAAATCCTACTCATCCTTCAGAGCTCAGTTGAAATGCTATGATCTCTACCACAAAGCTTTCTCTGATTCCCCCTACCTGTCTTACCTGTCACCTCTGTCAAGCACTTAACTCATTCTGTCTTTTATTGCAATATATTAATGCCCCCCGGGTTACACTTCTTCAAGAACAGAGCCTAAAATATTTGTCTTATGTCTCTCATTTGACCAAGGACAATGCACTTGACACATATGGGCTCAAAAGTCCTGAAAAGAAAAAGAAAAAAACAAAAACAAAAACACCAGAGAGAAAGAGGGAGAAATACTCACCTCTCTGGTCAAGCACCTATTATGAACAAGTAAGTACCATAAAAATCCTCACATCCTTTAAAGGTGTAATTCTACTCCAGGGAATTCATCCTAAGTAATTCAACAGATACAAATAAAAGCAAAATGTCATTAGAGGAATGAGCTAATCCATTATTGTAGATTAAATCTATACACTCTTATGTAGCCATGAAAGAATATTTTTATGAAAACTATACAGAAATATTTGGTAGGACATTAGGTGAAAATAGAATATATAATAGAGCAGATACCCTAACTGCAATGCTCTGTAAGATGCGTTTACCAGCTTACACTCTAATGGGGGCATGAAAGACAATAAGCAACAATACGAAGAAGTAAAATACTCTGTACAGTTATATGGCAATAAGTGCAATGAGAAAAATAAAGCAGGCAAGAGGAATAATAGCATAATGGGGATATATGCTATCTGAATGAAGATATTCACATAAAAGATAAGAAAAAAGGTCATGCTAAAGCTTATAAAATTAGGCAAGTTCTTTTCTTATATTTATGTAAATACTTATCTTTTATTTTATTGTTTTCAAAACTATTACAAAAATTTAATATACCTCAAAGTTCTGCTAAAAGAAAAACAAAATAAGTGAACAAAAAGACCCTCAGCTAACCCTCTGCTATCCGTACTATTCAATGTATACCTTGGTGTCCCACTTTCCACACTACAACTTTATTTACCTCTGTTCTCCAACACTACCCTCCAATTAGATCAAGAGAATATACCAGGCTTTCTTGCATCTCACGCCTATTTCTAGAATTTATCTCACTCGAAATATCTACTCTCCACATATGCCAATCCTATTCCTTCTTCAAATCTCAGTGCCTCTAAAAGCCTCCCAAGAGTTACATGGATTATTCCATTTTGGTTACCTTTGCTTTTAAACAGAGGTGAAAATGACAAGGGACCTTCCCAATATAGGCAGGGAGACAGATAAGTTTCAGATACTCAGTAATTCGCTGGGCAGGTAGGAGAGATAGGAATGAAGTGTGAGAACACAAAGGAGGGAGCATTTAATTCTGCTCCAGATGGGGTAGAAGACCTGGAAACCTTCAAAGAGGATGGCTTGATTTAGAAATCATATGAGGAATAAGGAGGATATTATACAAAGAGTGAACGGTCTGAGCAAAAATGGAGGGAGCTGTGAAAATAAAAATGCATGGTGCTTTGCCGGCATTATGGGTTACAGTCGATTTCAAATACAGTAAAACTGGAAAGGGGAATCAGGGAGCGTATTGCAAAGGCCCTTAAATGACCAACAGCCTAAATCCCTTAGATTACAGTGGAGGTAATAGTGAGTCACTGAAGGCTTTAAACTAGACTTATGCATTGATTTTCACTTTTAAAAGATTAACCTGGTTCTCAAAAGGGAGAGCATACCAGTTATCAAATGGCAGGTATTCCAAAAATGTTCCAAAAACTGGGTAAGACTATCACAGGGGAGAAAATTCTCTCAGCTCCCACTGTCGCTAATGATAGCAGCCCATGGTAGGTACTCAATTGTTCTCTAGTTGTTCTGAATATATTATTTTTCTTCTACGAGATTATAAAATTCAGTAAAGCAGAAAGGCAAAGAAGTAGCACGTCTCTGGAGTCAGACTGTCTAGGCTGAAATCCGAGTCTTGACACCTGCTGACTGTATAATCTTGAGCAAATTACTTAACCTCTTTGTGCCTCAGTTTCCTAATCTGTCAAATGTAGTATCAGTGTATCCCTCACAGGATGGTAGAGAACTAAAACTGAGATTGTACATCTAAAGTATCAACACAGTACCTGCCACATAGTAAATCCTCAATAAATGTATTCTTTGTGAACTGTATTTGGTATTCAGGGTTACACTAAACACATAATAGGTACTCAGTACTGGGTCAAACCATTTATTCTTTTCTATAAGCCCCAGAGAAAGTTTAAGATAGTAAACGTTCCGCCACATTTGTATAGATTAATAATACTTCATGTAATAATGAGAAAATAACTTTTTAAAAAGACAATGCAATTTAGAAACAGAAGAGCATTTTCCCAACAGGTCTTGAAAAGCAGTCGACACACAAGTCACTTGGACAGCTCTTTGAAAAGCGATAGTCATTGTGTAACCTTAACTTATAAGTCACACTCAAAGTCAGAAATAAAAGTACAGGGTATCAGTCACGAAGCATGGGGCCATAAAGATGCTGGACACGAGGGCCAGGCTCCGATACGGCAGAGTTTTTAAAATATCGTCCCAAGTAAGAAGTTCTGGGGCTCGGGGGGGGGGGGGAATCAAAAATCAAAACTCGTGGTGACATTAACGGTTCCGAAAACTCTGCCCAGAGATCTGCAGCACGAGGAAATGCGCCGTGGGGGCCGCCGGCCGGACAGCTCCGGGGCCGCGGGACCCAGGCTTTTTTTCAGCAGCAGCAGCAACAGGCAGCAGCGCCCGGGGCGGCCGGGCCGAAGCCACCTCCCCCGCGGGTCGGCCCCGCATTCCTGCCCGGGTCTATACTTAACCTCCGGCCCGCGCCGCGGGCCGCCGCGCCACGCCGTGCACCGTATTAGGCAATGCCCGGCGAGCAGGGCCCCGGCCACCGCCCCCCCCCCGCCCGGCCTTCTCCGCCCGCCTGCCCCGCTCCACTCCGCTCCATTCAACGCCCGCGGCCGCGCCGGCGCCCGCGCCCCTTCCCCACGGCCGCCGCCCGCCCCCTCTCCCCGCGCCGCGCCCACTCCGCCGCCCGGCGCTGCCGCCCCCAGCGCGCCCTCCCCGCTCGCCGCCCCCCGCAGCCGCGAGCGCCCGCAGCGCCGAATGTCGGGGGGGGGGCGGAGGGAGGAGAGGGCCCTTCTCGGCGCACGTACCCCGCGGTCATGGCGATGTTGTAGAAGGTGAGCCAGACAGTGGCCAACAAGCCGAGGCGCCTCCTCTTGCCGGTGGCCTCCTTCTCCTCGCCCGCTTCCGAGGCGCCGCCGTTGGTGCCGTCCTCCTCGCTGGACGCCATGGTGGCCGTGCACCCGAGGGAAGTGGAAGACAGGGGAAGGGGAGTGGGAGGGGGCCCAGCCGAGCGCGCCGCTGAAGCACCACCGCCCGCTGCCACCGCCTCCGTCAGGCGCCCCATGTGCCGCGCGCAGGGGGCTCGGCGCCGCCAGCCGGGCAGCCCGCAGGAGGAGGAGCGGGCGCCCCCGGCCGCCGCCCCGGCCGCCCCGCCCCCGGCCCTCGGGAGCGCGCGCGGCGCGGGGACCTGGCAGCCCGACCTGGGCGCTGGGGCTCGGGATCCCGCGAGCCCCCTGGGTACGGTTTCGAGGCGTCTGAGTGGTTTCCGCTCCCACAGAAAGTTATCCGCGTCTCTAGCTGGGGGAACCTCCTCTTAGACGCCCCAGACGTCTCGGGCGCTGGTGACTTGCCCCCTCGCTAGTGTATTTAGTCGGGGCGGACGGAACACACCTGGACTTGGCATGACCCTGCCCCACCCAGCCTTTGGGAAGGTATTTTCTGGAAGTGAGGACAGGTAGTGGGATCTTCCCGCTAAGTACGCATTAAGACCTTCTGGAAAAGGAAGAATCGCCCACTTCAGTCTGTTTCATTTTTACGGGCCCGTGGGGCGTGTACAGGGGAATACAGTAGAATTGCCTCACTTGTGTGGATTCCCCTGGAGCCAGTGTTCTAAAGGCATTGACTTCAATGCAGAGTAGTGTTGGATGTTAGAGGGAAGCTGGAGGAAAGAGGACATGGCAAGATACCAAAGGAGAAAAGTTTGAGCAGATGCAGGCGAGCTACAGATATCGGGCTGACAAGAACCCTTTCCCCAAGGCAAGTATCCCACTGTCCTCTACTCTATCCGTTTCCTTTTGTATCTTCCTTCAAATACCTGTGCTTTCTCCCAATAGCTCTCTGCTCTTTCCCCTTAAAGCACACAGTTGGGAAGACAGGCTCCGGAGTCAGATTACTGAAATTCAAACCCCAAATTCCTGGCTCCATCAGTCTTACTAGCTTGTGAACTTGGGCATCTAAACTTTTCTATGCCTCAGTTTCCTCAGTGGGAACAATTTATAAACCTGTCATGGGTTGTTGTGAGTGCAAGTCTCACACTTATAAATCACCCATATAAATAACCCACACTTAAATCACCCACATAAATCCCTTAAAGGTCTGAAGCAGTTTGAGTCCCCCCCCCCCGCCAAATTAGCGTATTAGCACCATTCTGGTGACTCAGATCTCCGTTGATCCAGCGAAAGAAATTCTGCTTAGGCCTGTGGAAGCTATCTGCTTGTGCTGCTGGAAACTAAGCCTGGCCCTGGGCAGGTGGTGACCACCAAAAGACCACATAGCTACGAGTCCAGTAGCTCCTCAGGTTATGGAGTCACTTGGGAGAGGTCACCAAGCGAGAGAAAGGAGGTCTTATCCCTTTATTGTGATCTGGGCTCTGGGCTCCTGATCCAGGGGGCACTACCAACCTGCTTGGGAAACTTAAATAATTTTGAGGAAGACATTCCAATGGGGTGTGGTGGTGGGGGAGGCTGAGATGTGCCTGGGAAGAAATAATGGCTGAAAATGTTTAAATTTGATGAAAACTATGAACGACTATTTTTTAAGACGTTTAATTGGAATGGAAGAAATAAAACTATTTGCAAATGACAACATTGTATAATTAGAAAAGCCTAAGGAATCCGTTAAAAAGCTACTGGAACTAGTTGCAGGCTACAAGGTCAGTGTAACAAAAATTGTTTTCTACAGAAAAGAAACTGGAAATTGCAATTTAAAATAAAACCATATATTGCTCATCAGCATCCAAAACCATGAAATATATAAGGATAAATTTAACAAAAAGTGTAAGACCTGTACACTGAAAGCTATAAATCACTGCCAAGAGAAATTAAGGTCTTAAATAAATGGCTATCCATTGGAAGCCATTGGAATTGGAAGATGAATTGGAAGCCATTGGAATTAGAAGATGATATGGTTAAAATGTCAGTTCTCCCCAAATGCCAGCAGAATATATATTGTTTTAATTTGACACGGTATCTCTAAAATTTATACAGAAATGCTTAAGAACAAAGTTGAGGCACATACATACTTGTTTTCAAGACAGTATACAACTACAGTTTACAAGACAGTGTGGTAAGCATAAGGATAGACAAATCAATGACACAGAATAGAGTCCAGGCCCATACATATGGTCAGCTGATTTTCAACAAAGATGCCTAGGTATGTCTTTTCAACAAATAGTGCTGAAATAACTGGATATCCACATGAAAAAATAAACCTTGACCCTTACCTCACACCATACACCAAGTATTAATTTGATATGGATCATAGACCAAACATAAAAGCTAAAACTATAAAACTTATAGAAGAAAACAGAATCACTGTGACCTTGGAGAAGGCAAAGATTTCTTAGATCCAATAGCAAAAAAAGCATTAGTCATAAAGGAAAAGACAGAACTTCACTGAAACATAAAACTTCTGTAGTTCCAAAGACAACATTTAAAAGGTAATTTTCTCTATACATGTGTCTGGCAAGGAACATGTATCCAGAATATATAAAGAATCTTTACAACTCAATGATACAACAACCTGATATTTTTTTAAATGAGCAAAAGATTTGAATAGACTCATTGCGAAGAAGATATATAAGTAACAATGGCACATGCAAAGACACCCAATCTTATTAGTCTTTAGGGAAATGCAAATCAAACCCACTGAGATATCACTACATCTAATACTTTAAATGCTGGCAAGATGTGGGGCAATTGGCATTCTCATATATGGCTAAAGAGAATAACACTTTGGAAAACAGTTTTGTAATTTCTTTAAAAGATCAACATTTGCTTGCTTACCATATGACTCAACAATTTCATTGCTAGTTATTTAACCAAGAGAACAAAAACAGGTCCACACAGATTTGGACACAAACGTTCATGGCAGCTTTATTCATAGTAACTTCTAACTGAAAATAATCCATGTGTCCATCAACATGGGGAGTAAAATAAATTTGAAAAGTGGTCACAAAATGCTGTGGGAGTTAAAGAGCTGTCAAAAAATGTAACTTGTTTGGGAGATCAGAAAAGGCTTTGTGCAAGAAATCACCATTGAATACTTGATTCCAACAGACAGATTGCAAGAGGCAGGCTGAGGGCTCACCATGAACATGGAGGCAGGACAAACCAACAAGGTTGAGGAAAAGTGAATTGTGCAGTTTGACTAAATCTTAAAATGACCAGGAGAAGGATAGAATAGAAATGTCGAGAACCACTCTATTTTAAAATGCAGCAGTGAACTTCTGAAGACTTGGTGGAGGAAAATCAAGTTAAAGAAACCTCTTTTCAAAGATGAATTAGGCAGCAGGAAACAACATCAATTGTCTTCTAGGAGAGAAGTAAGAAGGCCAGAATTAGGTTGATGGTCAGCATGAACAAGGGAATGAATGAGATTTTTTGAGACATAACAGAATCAAAGAAAGTGTTCTGTTTATTGGCTGAAGTGTAGGTGCCATAAAATAGGGAGAGATTGATTGTCTTTGTGAAATAGGTTATTTACGAAGCAAAATCCCTCTGTGGGAAAGTAAGAGATTAAGAAGACAGATGGAAGAATTGGTTTTCAACAAGAGAAAAGACACTTCTTTCTCAGATAAGAATGAAGGAAATGGAGGTAGAGATATTTTGAGGTAGGGAACTTAATTCAAAGTGAGGTGTCCTGACAGCAAAGGAAGTTTGGAATAGCATTTTACATATAACCTTGTTTGATTTCTTGAAATATCTTTTATTTTATCAATCCATGGAGAGTAGTCCTTGCATTTGGGATAAAAACTGATTACTTAGCCTGAATTCAGAATTTTCTACTATAACCTGAGCCCAGGGGAGCTGATCAAACATCATCTCTTAGTAGTTATCTGTCACCAAAATACTGTGATCCAACCAAGCAGGTCTGTTTATTGTCCATAAACTGATCTGGATAACCTTTAATCCAAATCCAGCATTCTTTTCATCCTACCAAACTGCTATTTTCCCTTCTTTCTTGTTTGTATAAATCTCATTCACTCCAAGGTTGCATTTAATACCAGTTCTTTCAAGTGGCTTTCCCTGCCACTTCAACTTATAGTGGACCCTTATTGTTCCCCAGATAAAATAGTTTGTACTAATAATGTGTCATTCATTTTAGCGGTTAATTATACATTGTCTTCTTTTTTTTTAAGATTTTATTTATTTGACAGAGAGACACAGCGAGAGAGGGAACACAAGCAGGGGGAGTGGGAGAGGGAGAAGCAGGCTTCCCGCGGAGCAGGGCGTCCGAGGCGGGCTCGATCCCAGGACCCTGGGATCATGACCTGAGCCAAAGGCAGACGCCTAATGACTGAGCCACCCAGGTGCCCCTATAAATTGTCTTCTTTTTTCACTTATGCTTGTATATGTTTTGTCTTGGGGAAGAACTACTTATCAAAGATCATTACCTATATTTTATTTTATTTTATTTTATTTTATTTTATTTTATTTTATTTTTTTATTTTATTAAGATTTTATGTATTTATTTGACAGAGAGAGAGATAGCAAGAGCAGGAACACAAGCAGGAGAAGTGGGAGAGGGAGAAGCAGGCTTCCCGCGGAGCAGGGAGCCGGATGTGGGGCTTGATTCCAGGACCCTGGGATCATGACCTGAGCTGAAAGCAGATGCTTAACAACAGAGCCACCCAGGCACCCCTCGTTAACTATATTTTAAAAAATCCTTCCCAAAGGCCAATTAATGTTTTGCAATTTTTAGTAGCTTTATTGAGGTATAACTAACATACAGTATAGTGCATGTATGTAAAGTGTACAACTTAATAGGCTTTGACATATGTATCATCTGTGAAACCTTCATCACAATCAAGACAGTGAACATACTTCAGCATCTCAAAAAGTTTCCCTGTGTTCCTTTTTCAATGCCCTCCTTCTCTACCTCACGTTGTTACCAGGTAACCACTGAGCAGCTTTCCTTCACTATAGATTAGTTTGCAATTTCACTGATTTTCTGTAAATGAAATCATACATTATATGCTCTTTTCTGTCTGGCTTATTTCACTCAGGATAATTATTTTGAGCAGGTCCAGCTTCATGTCTATGTAGCTTCTAGAGTCCCACAGGATCCTGGGCTCAAAAGGGCCTGCCACTTGATTTAATG